GCCAGGCAGTCCATAACAGCCCAATTACCATTAACTAACTGCAACTGAGGCGAGCAAAAACTAAAAACTAAAACTGAAGCTAAAACAGAAAAGTAAAAAAGTAAACTAAAAACCAATCGAAAAACCAGATTCAGATAGAGATTCCGACACAAGAAATAACTTTCGGTTTTAGCGCTGATCGTCGTATGCGGCATTACGTAATGGGCCAAGAAAATGCAAATACAGCAACAGAAATATGTTTAAGGCAACGCCCGCGACTTTTGGTATTTGCACGCCCAAAAACTAACTGCCATTGTGAACTAGTCGTTCTGATATTGTGATTATGATGTTTGCTGTTACGACTATAATTGCCGTTGCCTTGTTCACACGGCCGCATTTAGTTCACGTGTTTAGCACGAATATCAGGCAGAAAAAAAATAAGATATATATAAATATATACTGTATATGTATAAAGAGGCAGAGGTAGAGCAACAATAATGGTGTATGGCTGCCTAATTTGTGGCTGGAAATTAGAACAGCACGCAACGCGAGCTGAGATGCGAGCAGCTGTGCCTGTGTCTCGTCTCGAGCAGGCACAGAGAATAATAACTTTGAGAATATGTTTCAAACTTGGCGAAAAACAACGCACACAGCGAAGCAGTCAAAACACTACTCGCTTAACTTATGCATAAATATTAAATTATGCTTGAGCGTTAGCTGAGGATGGCAACGGAGCGGGGTGCGGAGCGCGGGGCGCGGGGCGCGGGCGTTGGTACGCGGTGCACTTGAGCAGTTATTGTTAGTTTTATATCAAAGTTAGTTGGGGCCAAGTTAAGCGGCGGTTTATTTATTTTTATAGCATTTCTCGCTAGGTTTTTATATCATATTTTATTATCTTTTTATCTTTGTTTTTGTGTTGTTTTTGTTTAGCACTTGTTGCTGTTCGCCTCTTCTTACACTTGCCTCGAACGGGGCGCGGTGGGGCGGGGCCCCCTTTTTAGCTTTACTTTGGTTCAGAGAAAAAACACGTCCAGCGCGCACGAGTTGCTCACAACGACTGAACTACGTAGCGCGCTTTAAGCCAAGTTTCAGTTGCGATCATTTCCAGCCGCAAAAAGCTTTTAGCTGGAAGCCAGCCGAAGACGTCATCGTTTCCACATTGCGATCTTGCCTTGTTTTGCTTACCAGCTTTGTTGCGCTTTTGTTTTGGGCTCTTCATTCGCTCCAAAGTTCCCTCTGCTGCTGTCGCTGTCGCTGATGTTGTTGTTGTTGCGAGTGGTTTAGTGGCGTTTCCGTTTACGAAACGCATTTCGATTCTGAAGTTTTTATTTCAGTTACTTTTAATGGACTGCACGTTAATTATCGATGACTCTGTGGTTTTTCTCTTGATAATTGAACAATTTGTATGGGTCGCTGCGGCTTATTTCAAAAGTTATTGATTATAAAACGCAGCTTGAGCTATTACTGGCGCCCTCCCTCTGCCGACCCATTACTTCCCCCTCACCCAATTCCCAAATCATAAGTGGAAACAATGCGTTTTCTTTCATTTCTCAAGAATTTTTTTTTGTTTGTTTTGATTTTATTTGTATTTTTAGTGTTTTTTTTTTTTGTGTGTTTTGTTGTTCGTTTTTTCATCAATTTGTCATATTTGTTACCCTTTGCTTGCGCTGTAGCTGTCAGTTTTGCGTTGTTTTGTGGCTAAGCACAGACACGGCTTTAAAATGCTCTTGTTTATGATCGAACTGAACGATCATAAGTACATAAGTATTTGGGTATACAGGTGTATTTGATAAGCTCGATTCACTTGCTGCAAATCGGCGCTGACTGCTCTGAATATTATCTTAAAAAATGCCATTAATTTGTTTTTATACGATTTTTTTTTTGCTTTCATTTTTTGCTGCTGCTCTTATGATTTTTTTTAATTTTTTTTGTTTTGTTTTTACTTGTGAATGAAGTTATGCTGAATTAATTTATTGTATAATCTTATAAATTAATTAATTAATTTATAGTCACAAAATAAAGCTATAAATGTTGTTGGTTTTCTCATAGTACAATGCTTTAAATTAATTCACAAAATTATTTAGCACATTTCTCAAGCCTCACACAAACTGTAAGCTTTAACATACGACAAACCCACGGCTCTACCTTCCGCAACTCCCCAATATTTGTTCTACAATTAGCAACAACACAACCAAATCGATGTAGTTTCTTCTCTTCCTCTTTCCTATATACTCTTTCTAACAAATCGAATAACGAAAACATTAAGCTAACCAAAGAAAAGCCAACAAACATTTGTAGATGCCAACCAGGGAAGGAAGTTTTGTCTATATATCGAGATTCTCTGATATTTTCTTCAATGAGATCATCTCCAAATCCTTCCAGGCCCCGGTTCAAGCCTTCTCTGTATTAGGTGCTATGTTTAAGCATGCTAAGAAGCAATAAAATGTATAATTAGAATTATCTAATAATAACGTTATTTTTTTCTCACTTGGCTAACTAAAAATCAAAAACCTTCAACAATTTTTAGCGTAATTTCTTTTAGTTTTCAATATTTTTTTTTCTCATTTTCATTTTCATTTTTCGTCTTAGATGAAACCCCATTTTATGTTTATTGTAATTTTTAATGTAGGCATATTAATGAATAAACTTCTCTTTAATATATGTTTCTTTCGTTTATAATAATAATAAATGGCAATAATGTTTCGAAATACAATACAATTAGCTTTAAACTATGAAAAGGAATTATGAAATTGTAGTTGCTTGTTTTGCGTCTTTTTTTTTCTCCGAAAAAAGTATGAAAAATCTAAGAGAAAATGCTAACAAAATGAGTTTGTGTGCGTGGAATTTCCATCATCAGCATGAAGTGAATTAATTTGTTATAGTTGGTTTTTCTTTCTACATGGGATTTGCTCGCAGCTGGAGCTACAATAGCACATTAACTAGCGGCTTATAGACACTCAATCAATCAATCAATCAATTTATCAATCAATCGTCAATTAATCGCATACTCATTGATACACTTAAGTAAATAGCTTAATTTTTGTCGTATATACTCGTAATTATTACTTGTGGAATTTATGTATGTGTATATGAGTGTGTGTGTGAGTGAGTGTGTGGTGTATGTGTATGTGTATTTGTGTTGACACAGAACAATTTCAGAAATATTATTTGGTCTTCCCTTGTACACATCTAATGGTAACTAATTAAGTTTCTTTTTTTTTTATTGTTATTTCTAAAGTTAATATCTAAATTCTTCGGTCTTCGATCACTTAAGCCTGCAGTGCGTTCCCATATTATGGGTTTACCAAAATCATCGCTTAGTTCTGCTACAGAACTTACCCTACAACGTTTAGAATCCAACATCATCATGATCAACATCATCGTTATCGTCGTCATCATCAACTATATATCTTTGAATCTTATCTCAAATGTGACTTCAGCATTCGTTTCGCTTGGCAACTAACTAACATTACAATACATTTAGATCTTTCAGTTGAGAGTATCCATACCATATATATCATATTATATGTATATATATCAACATACCCAATGCCATATTACATACAATATACTAATATAGTAGTACAATATAATATTGCATTAAAAGTTGTTTGAGAGTTGTTTTTTTTTTTTACCATTTTCTTTGCTTTTTTCTACCCATTTATTGGATGATTTGGTTTATCGTTTCGACTTTGTATGTATTTTATGTGTATAATGTATTTTTATTTTTGTTTCTCTTATTTTTGTTTGTATTTCAGTTTTTTAGTGTCTGTTGTATGCTGTGGCAGTTCTTTTCCAATAGTACAAATATTTTGCAAATATCTTTTGTTTAGTTTTATCATAAATTTGTTTAGTTTTTCTTTTTTTTTCTGTTTTAAATATTATTTTCAATTTTAAAGTAAATCGTTTCCCATATACACATCTAGTAAATTTTGTCAAATTACAATTACGTTTAGCAAATATTACAATACGCTAATTGTTCATTATTACATTATTATTAATTAGTCAATTTAAATTAAATTATTATTATAGTAAATACCGGTTTGTCTGTGTTTGTGTTTATGTTACTTTTTTTTTGTATTTTTGGTAGATAATCAATTTAGTTTTTGATATTTTCTAATTGAATCCTTAGATAGAAAATATTTACAATGCAAATTACATACAATGCGCGTAGTTGTATATGGATTAATAATGAGCGAGTAATTTGTAATCATTCAATTAAAATTAGTGAAGATACTAAACTCTAATGATGCTACCTACACACCTAGCTATACATATATATATATATATATATATATATATATGCATGGATATATTATTATGAATATGGTAGCATGGCAAAAAGTTGTAGGTATATATTCGTATAGAGTGGGAGTTACAGCTAGAGCTGTCAAACAACGGTTTATATGAGCTGAGTTGAGTTTTCTGTTTTGGAGTTTCTGTAATTCGGAATATCTATTAAAGCTTTTCCGATATTGGTATTTACTTAAATACATACTTTGCAAATATATTGGTTTAGTTTTAAAAAAAGTTTTCACAAGTCTTAACTTAAGGAAGTTTTACTTTGTTTTCTTTTTGGAATTTGAAAGATGCAAACTAAACTAGTAAATGGGTTTATTTATTCATTTTGTCATCATCATTTTTTTATTAGTTAAGGTTTAGCTTTATGTACATATTGCTTTGACCTATGCGAACCTCTGAGCGGTTGTTGCAGTTGTCTAAACAATTCTGGCAGTGCCATTTAGTGGGTGAATGGTGGATCCTAGCACAAGCCACATGCATTCCTAACACTAGCCTATCCACTTACCTCTGCCTACACTGAAAACAATATTCATTAACTCTTTTACTCATGTCTCGTCTCTTACTTGCGCCTTGTGTGTCTCTCGTTTATGGTTTCACCTTTCTCGTTTCTCTGTTGTCCTACAGCGAGCAATATTTGGCATTGTTGTGGTTGTTGTTGTTGTGTGTTGTTGTTGCTGTTGTTGTTTGTGTTGCATTGTTGCTGGCGCGTTGCATGCGCCGCAAGATTTGGCCAGTTTGGTGTCGCTGGGGCTGTGGCTGTACCTGGTGCTGTACCTGCGGCTGTGGCTGTTGCAGCTCCTGTTTCAGCTCCTTCTCCCCCGCCGTGCTGTTGCTTGTGCTAGCAGCTGCTGCTCCTGTTCGCGTCGGGGTCATTCAGTTAGTAAGGCAATTTGTCAATTTGGCAATATTTCAACCGCATGCACAACAATCACACACACACACACACACATAAATAGAGGGAGCGAGAGTATGAAACACAAGTGCAACAAATTTTTGGAGGGGGGCGCGGCACACACACAGCGAGACACAAAGAGAGTTTAACACAGAGAGAGATAGAGAGAGAGAGAGTATGATGCAAATGTTTATGAGGCGTTGCTTTCGCATTCTTTGCGGGCGGCAAGGGCCACGCCCATTTCATTATTTTGTTTTTTGGTTTTGGTTTGATTTTTGTCGAATGTCGAATGAATCATGGAGTCATGAGGAACATGATATGTACACCATACCGATCGGCTGATGCTGATGGGGCAGCACGCTCCCGTGTTATATGATACTCTCGCGATTCCGTTCCAGCTCCTCGGCCTCATTATCGGGATCCACGCTGGATGTGGACGAAACGCCGCAGATTTGCATTTCAATCTCTGCCAGACGATTCTCCAAATCCCATTGCTGCTGCGAGAGTTTCGTATTAAGAGCTTGATTCTCCGATTCAACTGTATGCAGGCGTTCTCTCAGACGCTTGATCTCATCCTCCAGAGCCTCGTGAGAGCCGAGCAGCGGTGTGGTGCCGCCACCAACACCTCCAACGCCAGCGCCATAGCACTCCAGCTGCGAGCTCGAGTCGCAAATGTGACCTTAGCAGAGAGAGAGAGAGAGAGAAAGAGAGAAGGAGCGAGACGGTGAGCGTGTTAGAGTCAGATAGGTTTTTTTTAAAGACCGAGAGAGAGAGAGAGTGAGAGAGAGAGAGAGAGAGAATGTGAGCTTACCTGTGTGACTGGGCTGAGATTGCGGTCGCATTGAGTGGTGCGAGGTGGCGCGACTGCGCGGCCGCTCCTCGGAGCCATGTGCGCTGGGACTGACCGAGCGCGGCGAGTCCGTGGCACGCACCAAATGCTCCGTATAGCTGCGTGGACTGCAAGCATTTAGTCGGGGACAGATCAGCGAGCAGAGGCCAAGACTCACCTGTAGCCATGTGCATGGGGCAGCTGCTGGTGAAGTTGCTGCTGTTGTGCCTGTTGCTGCTGCAGCTGCAGCTGCTGTTGTTGCTGTTGTTGCTGCTGCTGCACCTGATGCTGCTGCATCTGATGCAGCATGTTGACTGAGGCCGGCGGCAGCCACATATCCTCCAGCGTGGTGCGGCCGCAGCTCTCCACCAGGCCCGGCGTTGACTGGCAGCGGCCCATGGCAACTACATTAAAGTATTTGACTGTGTTTTAAAATCAAAAACGATCACAGAAAAAACAAGTGGGGGGAAAAAACCAACGGAAAGCAAAACATTCGATTTGTGTTATTCCAAGGGGGGCAATCGTATTCGCATTCAAATTCGTACACTCGGAGAAAAACGCAATGGTTACACAAAAAAGTTTGAATGAAGTACAAAATACTTATAGCAAGACTTTGCATGCTTGAAATGAATAATTTCGGTTTTCAGATTAGTTGAAATACGAATTTGATTAACATCAACATTTGAGTGCGAGTTTTTCTCCGAGTGTATGCACATACCCTGCTTTTGGGCTTAATTTCGAGTGTGTGTGTGGATGTGTGTTGGAGCGGCTGTGTGTGGGGTATAACTATGTAAAGAAGTTTATGAGCTGCTTCGCAACTTACCTTTCTCCAGTGGTGCCTTCTTGTATTTCTCCAAACGCTTGACGGCTATCGACTCCAAGCGGACACGCGCCGCCGGATACTCCTTAAGCACGTCCCACATGTCTTTTTTGCTCAGCACGAACAGATCGCTGTAGCCCACGGACCGAACGCTGGCGGTGCGTCTGTTGCCTGCACAAGCAGCACAGTGTGGCAAGTTGGCAAATGTGGCGATGTTGCACGTTTGCAGCAATGAAGAGAATGAGGCATAAAGTTTAATATCAATAACTTGCCAAAGGTATTTCTCGTTGCTGTTCTTCTTGTTCTTGTTGTTGTTGGTGTAGTCTGTTGCTCTTATTGTTGTCTGCACACAAACAAACACATTCGTACACACACATACACACACACACACTGACACATTAATATTGCATGTCAACTGAAGGTATGCAGGCAATTGGTTGCGAGCTACACAGGGTTGGGGCGTTTGTTGCAATTGGAAATTGGAAGTTTGGGGAAATTGGGCTGACAATTTCACAGGGCAATTTATTGGATGCAAAAATGCTACATACAGCTACAAAGATGTGCTATGTATGTCTGTCTGTTTGTCAGTCTGTCTGTCGCTTTTGTTCGGGCATCCATTTGCTACAATCGAGCGCTGGCTGCTATAACAGCAACAGTTTATTCAGACCAACAGCTGAAATTGTGCTTAAATATTTCATTGCATACTTTTTCGAGCTGCCAGATTCCAGCTAGTTGAGCCGTTGGGAGTTGGGCGGTTGCTAAGTCGCTGAGATGCCATTTCAACATTTCAATTTAACTTGTTGGCAATTAACATAAAGTTAGTTTTTAATCGTTTTGGCAGGCCTAACATTTACTTCAACATATTGTCAAATTTCATGTTCTTCTCACAAGTTTTTGTGGACTGAACAACCTGCCTTAACTTACCAGCTAGACAAAACAGCTGTTAAATATTTACAAGTTAGAGCGTTGCCACCTTGTCTTACTTAGAATTATGACTGATTTATGATATGCTAAGTTGACAGAAATTCTTGCGTTAGCAGTGTTGAATAAGAAATTTCAAGAATTTATGCAACACTATTAATTAGGCGCTGCCAAACTTGACATTGGGCATGAAATAGCAAAATGCAACCTAACAACTCGTCAAATTTGGAAATTCTTGTCAGCTTACAGCAGCATATAAACGTAAGAAAATGCAATATGCTTGATACATTCTAACGGAAACTCCCAAAGATATGCAGCATAAATTGTAGAAGATGATGTTATCTATTTATTGGGGTAAAAGTTGGCGTGCAATTTAAATGTATTCGCGTATTTGTGTGTGTGAGTGTGTGTGTGGAACAACGAAATGTATGTAAATTGTGGCAACAAAGTGACGTATACTTAATTTTACACTGTCAAAAACAATTCAAACGTTTAAATTACGGCCAGGCAAAGCAATACAACAACGACTCACAAAGAGACAGATATAAATATATAGAGGGAGAGAGAGAGAGAGAGAGAGAGACACAGAGAGAGGGGGAGAGATAAAGAGAAAGTAGAGCTGACTAGAAAAAGAAATTAGTAGATATATGAAATATTCAGTTGCTCACGCTTACAACTACTTAAGGGACATACTAATTGGATTGAGTTTTGGGTGTTAATGAAAGCGCTTTAATCATGCAGGTGCACAAAACAATGAACGATAAACAATTGAAATGATAAACTAAATGCTTCGATTTTATCGATTTGTGTGTCCAAGTTTGCAGCAGCAGTTCGCTCGAGGTGACAACAGCTTGACAGCAACTTGGCCAATTGTCTGCCAAAGTCAACGACTAATTGAGCCAGACGAGGCAAAAGTTTTTGGCAACGGCAAACGGCAACTTTTGTCAGCCGTTGCAAATAGAATTAAGTTGTTGCTGCTGCTGCTGCAAATTAAATTAAGCGGCTGCAAGTGAAGCGCCACTGCACTATGCAATGTCCCACATGCATACACACACACTCAAACACACACACACACACACTATTTGCGAGCATTGGATGCGCTAAGATAAATTTTGGCATTGTTGTTAATTATGTGCCACACATGAGAACCCTATATATAAATTATATAAAGGAATATATATGTACATATAAGGTAAGTGTACGTGATTTATCGCTGTAATTTACAGTCGAGTTCAGTTGAGTTGAGTTGCGTTTAGCTAAAATCAAGTTGCATCGCTTTAAACTGCCTCTCGATATCAACTGAAAATTAAAACCAAAATGTACTTTGACAGTAATAATAAATTGCACATTATTATTGCTGATTTAAGCCAATTTATTTGTAGTTTATTGCATTGTTTAATTGTGCAAAATGTACTGTAGTACATATGTGTGTGTGCATATATATATATATATATCCATTTATACAATATGTAGGTAAATATAACGGTGTGCATGCAGGTGTAATAATTGCATTTGGCATTCATTAATTGTGCTCAGTGCCAGGGTAAAGCGAGTGAGTGAGCGGGGGGGTAAAAAGGTTGAGAGAACAGGGCAAATAAAGTTGTTTTTGCGTGTGTGTGTGTGTGTGTGTGTGTGTGTGTGTGCTAGTGTGCTATAAAAGTGCGTTGCATACTTGTAGGACGGGCATAAAAACAATTTTTTGGCAGAAAAATGCAAAAATATGCAAAAGAGCAAAAAATTGTGCGCTTTGCAGCTGCCAATGAAAAGCAGCAAAAAACAAACAATAAAATACAGGAAACTAAAGTTAACTTCATCTTACCGAACTATAAATACGCTAAGTTATAGTAAACTGATCAGGTTAATAAATAATACATTTTTATGCTTAACACAAAATTTACATTTTCGTAAGCAAGTTCATATGGTAGATATGGGAAAAAAAGCATGATGAAAGCATGATATTTATTACCCTCGTAATTGTTGAGTTTTATCTAGATTTTGATTTTGATAGGCAAAAGCTTAACTCTTAACCCATCCTACCTACATATGAGCTTTAGATTTTAAAATAAATGAGTTGCTTATAGAAGATCTCAATTATCGACCGCTAGTAAATCTGGCAGATATAGACTATAACAAAGCGCTATCTATGATAATCAACTTGATTGGTATGCACATATCAATATTTTGTGAACTGAATCTTTTTTTTTGAGCTATATAATATATTAGTAAGAAAAGGTATCAAAGCACTTGAAAAACATAAAAGTTGTATGCACAAACATTTCATTTTTAACTTATCTATTCCATTGTAGCTATACGATATATGCATATAGACCAATAAATTTACTACCAACAGCTAAAATAACAACCTGTTAAAACTTGATACACGCTGGTTTTTTTTAATGAGTTACACATTTAATGACACATTATTGATACCCGCCGCAAGCGTATTAAAAACAATTGTAATGCTTCAATAAATGTAAGCATAAATAAATGAAAATAAATCAATTGTATTTTTGTATATTTTAATCAATTGATGGAATTTAAACGATTACGAGTGCGCGTGGCTGATGTCTGCTCTATTAAATAATACACCGAAATTGTAAAACTAATAAATAAATGTGTACACAGGCAAAAAGTGAGTGTGATTGTCGATGAGTGCGGGTGTGAGGGTGTGCGGGGGGAGGGGCAAATTCCAGATAAGGTAGTTGTGCTGCTAAATGAAACGCAACAAGAGCGTTGACTAAGTTAATGTAAAGTGGAATACTCTTTAAGGACTTCTTTAGCAAAATGTACTTTCTAAAGACACGTTTAAAACACATAGCTAAAAAATATTTGGAGAATCTTATTAAAAATTTGTGTTGTGTTTTGTTTCGTTTTTTTTTTATCATTTGGATTGGTTGTTGTTGCTGTTGTTGTTGTTGTTGTTGTAGTTACATTAATTTGTTGTTATTGTTATTGTTCCGCCTGTCGCACTAAAACGGGATATTTACCAAGTTCTTTACCTGCGGTGCCCATATTCAGTATACTAATCTCGCCGAAATAGGAACCTGCCTTTAACGAGGCCATCACCGTTTTGCCATTGTCAGCAACGACCTGCAATCGTCCACGATTCACAATGTACATCTCCTTGCCCACCTCGCCTGTAAGAGTGAAAGCGTGAAAGAGAGAGGAAGAGAGAGATATAGGAAGGGAAGTGAGTGAGTTAGGGTGGTTTCGCAGATGATACATATATAGTATATACATATACATATATATAGATATATGTAAGTGCATTTATATAAAAGCATAAGCTGGGCGTCTCTCTGGTCACTCACCTTTCCGGCAAATGTAGTCGCCCGGGGAGAAGAGCACGGGCCGCAGTCTCAGCACCAATTCGCAAAGGAAACCCGCTTCAGTGTTTTGAAAAATCTCAACCCGCTTAAGTGTATCTAAATGGACGTTAATTGCTATTTCAGCCTGCAAAACAGAACAGAACAGAAAACAGAGACACAGCTGAGCGGTTGGGCCTGTTTTGGAATTAAGGACAAAGGGCGTAACCAGTAGCAGGATAACATGCTACAGAAAATGGACAATTCATGTTGTCACAGCAGTTGGTTGGGGCATCTGTTTTGTGTACGGTACGGATTATTTACCTTTAATTTATCAGGAAGACAGGATACGGCGCGCTCCTCGTCCGAGCACTTTTGCGTGAGCCACAGGTAATCGAACCATTTGATGACCTTCACCTGCAGATGATTCGGCACACGCCGCATGCGCATGTACGTCTTAACTCCATCCAGCTTGGCTACAAATGGCAATAGTATTCGATTTATTTCCCAATCTATACATATATATCTATATACATATAGATATGCTTATTATATATGCATGCTTGTTTCTGCTGTGGATTACACGCAAATCGAAACGCTCGCCGCATACAAATGGCCACTGGCCAGCGGCCCCTCCAGCTAATCGCTGCGGCTTCAGACCCAATCAGCGTTTTGTTCTGCATAAATTTCATTATGCGCCTACACTCGGAGAAAAGCCCCAAGCTTTTTGTACTTGAATTAGGTAAAATGATAAAATTAATGTCAAGACTGAATCATTTGAACCCAAATAAGAATAACTTAAATAAAGAACGTTGTTCAATAACAAAATTTATAAATCAACTATCGAAATTCTTCACCTACATTGATAACTTTTTCAACAGATAACAAAATAGTAAGTTAAAATTAAAAATAAATTAGAATTACTTCAATTCGAAGCTGCGCTTTCTCTCAGTGTACAAGTTATTTATGCTTAGCCCAATTTCCTAGAAATAAAAATCAATTCAAGCCGTAACACCTGGCGTATGCTTAATATTAAGCTGTAATTAATTCGGGCTATTTATGAATGTTTGCAGAATGTCGCAATTTCTTGAATATTATTTTTAGAACTAGGCTATATGCGGAACCTTAGCTAGATTTACAGACTGTGTAATCGAAATTTACGTTCCTTTTCTAGAGTTAAGTGCAGTTCCGGACGTCTTTGTTTCACTGGCTGCCAGGTATGTGCGTGTCTGTGTGTGTGTGTGTGTGTGTGTGTGTGTTAGTGTGTGTGTTTGACTGGATAACCAAGCGGCGCTCGATGAGAGGAAATTAAATCTCTACTTGGCTCAACGTCACTGCCAGCAAATATTGACACAATTTGTCGATTGACAACTGCGGCTGGCTGTAGATGTTGGCGGTGCTGTTGGAGGTGGTGGAGGTGCTGCTGTTGTTGTTCTCTTCGTTGTTGTTGTTGTTGATGGTGGTGGTGCCACATTGACAGACAACGGCTGAGAGCTTTTGGCGGGAGGAGTTGTTTGCTCGTGTAAACATTAGCAAACCAACTGGCAAACAAGCAAACAGATTGAAAACAAATAAATAAAATTGCTTGTCGGCCCAGCAGGCAAACTCCCAACAGAGCTTCTCCTAATTTCAGAGACTCATCTATAATGCAAGTGACGCGAGGCAGTCACAGTTGCCCCGCATTTTCTTGCCACACACTGCCACGTTCATTTATCATTGAATCGTTGTTGGCTTCAATACCTTGTCGCCCAATCAGTCAGTCGAAGTAAAAAGGTTCAAAAGGCTGGCAGCCAACACCAAATGCTGTGGGTGGCTTTTCATAATTGATATTCGCCAGAAAATACCATTAAAGACAATGAGTGTTGCTTAAGTTAAATCATTCACAAAGTGAAAAGAGTATACATATATATTATGTGCAATGCCGGACTTGCAGTCCGGTCATCCCTATATTGAAGTAATGGACTTGAAATTTTGAATCCAGAATTGTGATTACCGTCACATAAGACGTTCGGATTAGATGACTAGGGCCAATAGGGGCGAGACGAGAAGAGAATACGGCATTCGTCCTCTTAATTTTATTGTAAAAGAACAAGAAAAAGTCAATTAAAAAAGTCCACGAAAAGAGCACACTAAAAGCCATTTCGATAGTCATGTAGGTAATTGGAAACTCGTTGAAAGACTTTCTGAATTCCAAAAATTTATTGGCATTAATTCGATAATAACAAGTTTCTTGTGAAACTATGTTAAGATTTGAGAATCTAATAAAACGTGTAGTTTTCATAGAAAAAATCAAAGCAAACCTCATTAATAGAAAACAATCTTCAACGTAAAAGGTTACCGCGTTCTACGAATTGCTTGCTGTTAGCTTGATTATCGCAAAACTATGATTATGTCGAATTGATTAGGTCGAAATTAACTATCTATTGTCAACAAAATAAATCTGAAATCAAAATTGATCTGTGACTATATAAAGAGCGCACCCAACCTCACATTTAGTGAGTTTCAGTTTCTATACACTCCAAAAATGTTGTGTCATCAGTTAGCCGCCTTTACTATTCTCGGCCTGGCTTTGACTCAGCTGCATTTAGCTGCAGTTAGCAGTCAGTCTGTTGCGGCCAGCTGTGGCACGGAGTTCACACAGGTGGGCGACAAGTGTGTGTACTACATGAGACCAATGCACTAACCTGGTTCGAGGCGTATCGCAACTGTCGCTCCAAGGGCGCCAGACTACTTACCCTGGATAACGACGCACAGCTGGAGCAGATAAGCAATTGGCTCAATGAATATCGCAGCGATGTCTGGACCTCGGGCAACAGTCTGAGCAACCAGGATGTTTACTACTGGCAGAGCACAGACAAGCTGGCGAGCTATCTGCCCTGGAGCACGGGTCAGCCTCAAGCTGCAAATGGCGATTGTCTGCTTCTCTTGGCTGACCACAGTTTGCTCGTTCTTGACTACCGATTGGCGGTCGAGAATTCTTATACTCTGGCGCCCTACATTTGCGAGCAGGAGCGACGCACCTTTGAGACACGAGTTTGCCTGAAGACAACTGCCTTTGATACGGCGCAGGTTGTTGTCAATTAATTAAAAGGTTCTATGATCTGACTTAAGAGAAGCCTTTAATGGCGGGGTGTCTTTGACTTTGAAATTTGTTAAGCACTTGTTAGAGATTTTTGTGTTTCCAACAAACAAGAAATAATGCTTAAGACTTAGTAATATTCGACTTTGCAGATACGTGAGGAGAATTTTAAAGTTCGTAATTCGAGAGTCTTGTGAGGAGATCTTTCTGTACGGCTACCTTCGGTACGCCGAAGATTCTCCATCCTTGTAGACATTTACCTTGCGGCTTGATATACTTAGTAGTACGATAGTGATAACATTTGGTTTATAAATAAACAGCATAGTAAAACTAAACCTAAAACTAGTAAATGACGGGCTTGATCAAGAAATCTTGATAAGCAAAAAGTTGTTCACACAAGAGCTTTATGTCCGATGATGTTAATGGGATGCTGCATATATTTAAGAATCATAGTGAATAGAACTAACAACAACTATATAATTTACTGCCTCCAACAAAAGGACGGACCTATGAAAAGCTTTAAGACGACTGCTTAAAACTTGGGAGACTAGTTTGCATACAAGCAGACGGACATGGCGATATCGATTCGGCTGACACTGATATAGATTATATATCCTTTATGGGATTAAAGTAGTCTCCTTCTATGCATTACACATTTCATGTCAAAATTAAATTACTCTCTAAAATACATTCTCGATTAGAGGGGACAGTTGAGTCGGCTAATCCTTTGGTGAGCTCTGAAGATTGAGAAGGCTCTCTGCTTTGTCGCCATCATCAAGATGGTAGAGCTTACTTAAAATATATTTCAGTGCATCTTTAGAATTGTTTGAGGTTTCGGCTGCTCGAACTCAGCATAACCCTCAGATTGTTAGACTCTAGGTAAACTTTCTATAAATGTTCGATTTCTGACAATTCCCATTTTCCCAGCTTTTGCAATCTTCTGAGTCTTAAGTGCGCAGTTGTAGAACTATTTGATTTCCGATTTTAAACAACTTCTTCTATTCCCGCTTTAAACTCTTAATATTAAGTGAAACGCTAATTTCATTTGAGGTATTGTTTACGTATCTTTAGTCGCGCACTCTCGATTCGCGCATGCGACTTGTTGGCTATCTGCTAAGCAACGCCAAAATAAATATTGCCTATTAGAGTGCCACTCCATTAGACTTATTGTTAATTATTAACTGATTCATCGATTTATTCTTGGAAAGTCGCTTGGGATTCCTTTGTAAAGATAAGCGAAATTTATAGTTAATTCTTCTATTTTCGACTCTGGTCAATCAAAGCTTATCATTTTGCCCAAGTGATAAGCGTTAGATAGGCGAACCTGAGTCTAAACTGGCCAGCGACTATATAAGCAACAAGCCCAACAGACCAGTTAGTTAGTATTGATTTCTTTATATAACAAACATGTTGTGGCATCAATTAATTGCCTGCACAATCCTCGCCCTGGCGCTGACCCAGCTGCACTGTGCTAGCAGCCAAACAGCTGCATCCAAGTGCAGCAAGAACTTCACTCAGGTGGGCGACCAGTGCTTGTTGGCTGTCAACAGTTGGTTTAGCTGGTACGAGGCAGATCGCTACTGTCACACCAAGGGCGCCGGACTGCTCAGCCTGAAGAACGATACGCAGCTGCAGTTGATCAACAAGTGGCTGAATACGTCCCTAGCAAACCAGCTGGAGCTGTGGACCTCGGGCAACAGTCTGGGCCAGAAGGGCGTCTACTTTTGGCAAAACACTGGCGAACAGTCCCGCTATCTGCCCTGGGCCACGGGCCAGCCCCGAACAACTGACGGCGACTGCCTGATGCTAACTGGAACCTACAGCGGATTGAGCATTGGAAATTATCGCCTCTCGATCAGAAACTGCTCCACCTGGGCTGTTTCTGTCTGCGAGCAGCAGGCACAAAACCTAACTACCCGCATTTGCCTCAAACCCGAAGCCTTTCAAGAGGCTCAGGTGGTGGTATAAATAAAAAAATAGTTTGTTCATTAAAAGTTAAAAATGCATTGTTCTGGACTCCAACACATGTTAGACTAATGTGAAAAGTTGGCAAAGATTAAATAAAATATATGATGAAGCTGAAAAACTGAAAGAATCCGCTTAAAGTATGATATTAACTGGGGAAAGGGTAGAAACTCTATTTGAAAATATTGCAATAATACACACATTTTATCTTATCATCATCTGATATGTGTTGATGGAAATGAATTGCTTATCAAGCATTTAAAATAATACTCAATAGACTTTGCTGCTTTGATGACTCAGAGCCACTTTCTTAATACCTATGAATTGTTTTCAATATAAAGATTTCTTAACATGTTTGCATTGGGCTTCCTTTCAATTAAGATATCTTATAGTCATTATCGTTATTCTTATCTTTTGCCTTTGCAAAGCCGA